CTCAGTGTTTAACTATTTCAGGTGATAAGCATCCAGAGTAAACATGTTTTGTTGGAAGACTTAGAATAGTTAACACTAACATGTTTGTACTTATCATACATATATGTATATGTATATGTGTTTTAAATTCCTGGGTAGTTATGTATTTTATGAAACCTTGTAAAAGTCTTAATAGTCGGTTTGTATCTAGTCTTTTGTAATAAGATATAAATATGCATGTAGCATGTTTTTGACTTTATGATAATGTTAAATATGAAAGGGGTCTTTCAAAAAACATACCTGGCGTTTGGATAGGTATGTGGAGGGTAGTGATTAGATGTTGGGTTGACCAAACCATTCAGGTTGACTTTTCCGATGTCTTCTGAGCCAGTTTCTGAATGCTAATACAAATCGATCAGCTTGTGTTGGGGTAAATGTGAGTTTTGTGTAGTTTTTGTTGACATCTTCCATTGACTGTGATAAAAAGACTTTTTCTTGACCTTGAAAAACAATCATATCACCATCATATACTTTGTTTGATGTCCAATGTTCATGCCATCGTGGAACAACCTACAATTTTCACCATTTTATACAAAGGGGTAAAATAGTCATTTAGTCTAATTTACACACTTTACCTGCCACCATGCGGGCCCGGGCATTGTAAACTGAAAGAAATTTCTAGCACTGCAAACAATGGAACGAGTCTTTCCAGGTGCCATTGGTACATTGAAGGAACAAATCCAAATTACCCACTTTTGATCACCCACAATAGGGAGTTTTGTGTCATTCTCTATCCTGAAAACAAAAAATTTGTTTAACTAATCTCTTTCTAGTTGTGAAATACCTATATTACCCTTTGATTGTGTAAACTTACTTGTTTATATAATACCAACATCACGTGATCCGGTATTGATATAAGGTCCTCTAAAAGTTGCTTGAGGTGGCAATGGTTTTGATGAATCAATAACAGGGTCATTTGATGACGATCTAGTCCTTTATTTTAACATACATTTTAATGTTTAATGTTTCAAGAAAGACTAATAATTAAAGAATAAATGAACCAAAAAGCAATGTAGTTACGCCATGTAAAAGGGAAAAGCTAAACCTGCACTTTCAAAAGCTACCAAGCATGTTGCAACTAGTTGTTGGATTAGGTGTCTAAGCCCATAACTATAATTGGTATGTACTTGAATTGATAGCAGCACAGTCC